GGGGGGGGGGGCTGACGACTCTCATGAGTCCTATGAGATTAATCAGTTATTTTAATGTTCGATCAAAATCCTATATTTCAATCAAAAGAACGGAGTTCTTGCCACAAACTCTGATTTTCTAATCTAATCCCTATATCTTTGCAACCCGATGTCGTAGACCTTAGATATTTCAAAATATGAATTGTGTTATATCAGTTAATCTAAGTTTGAAATATCAAAAGTCTACACCATCAGGTTGCAAAGAAATAGGGATTTAAAAATTTCAGGTTGTGGCAAAAACTCAATTCCTTTCTTTTTTTAAGGGGTGGGGAAGGAACAAAAAAGTCCAGTGGCGTACAAGAGCTTTAGTGCGGGGGGTGCACCTTATGCGCGCGTTAGCGCGGCGAAAGTTTTTTTTGTTCCCCCCCTAGAAGATTTGGTGTCCCAAAATTACTATTTAGTTTTTAAAGAACAGTATATCTTTTTGTTGATTATATATCACAGTTGTAATCAAGAAATGATATTTTGCCAAAAACTCCAAACTTATAATCCCTATATCTGTGCAACCATGTCGTAGATCTTTAAATAATTCAAACAATGAATTCTATGGAAAAGCCTAATTGTTTGAAATAAGGGTTACACCATCAGGTTTCAAAGAAATAGTGATTAGAAAATTTGAGTTTGTAGCAAAAACTTGGTTTCTTGAAAAATCTTTCCCCCTTTCAAAAATAAGTTTACCCCCCAGAAATTAGATGTTTGCGCGGAGCAGCAAAATGTGTATGGTTTTATTTACTAAATATTTGGATATGAATTGTACTAAACGATAAAAACATACCCCAGTTCAACAAAAATCATATTTTTCTACAGAAGTTTATAGAATTGTTAGCGCGGAATATCAAAACAATTTTTAACTGCTGAAATTTTAAGTAAAAAGAATTAAAAAGGATGAAAACTTGCCCTTTGCAAATTTTCCGGGTTTTACTTGCTGAATTTTTGTTTAAAAAATATTAGAAAAGGATGAATTAAGTTGCCTTTTAACATCTTATTTTTATTTTTTCCCCCACAATATATAAAATCATTTCATGAATGCGTTCCCCCACGGGTAGGGGGCACCCGTAGGGGGGGGGGTGCACCCAGTGCCCCCCCCTCGTACGCCCAAGTTAAAGTCGTACCAGTAATATGGGATAAAGAAACTTAACAAACAATATTTTCCAATTCTTATATCTCTGCAACCTGACGTTACAGACCTTTGACATGTCAAACTATGATCGAATTCTGGATAGGTTTGATGTTTATAAGTTTGGAAGAGATATAGGGATTATTAAATTACAGTTTGTGTTCAGTTCCATTGAACTTTTCCTCATGTCTGTATTGGAGTGATTTATTCTTCTAGAAAACACCGTCCTTACTCCTCAAGTCCAGCTAAAGTATATAAGAACTGTTAGGATTGAAGAAGCAAATGTTTTGAATTTCTAATTTGTAACCGGATACTACTGTAACCGGATACTACTGTAACCGGATACTACTGTAACCGGAGAGAAATAAATTAGGCAAAGCATTCAATATTTATCTATCGTATTAGAAAAATAAATTAGGCAAAGCATTCATTATACATCTATCGTGTTAGAAAAATAAATTAGGCAAAGCATTCATTATTCATCTATCGTTTTAAAGAAAATCTGTGTTTGAAATTTATAAATTTGGTTCATCAATTTAAACTGGGATTAAATACAGATTCAAGATTAAATAATACTGAGCACTCTTTCTAAACAAAAATATGTCAGAGAGCTCAATATACCTATATTATCATCTCTGTTCGAAAGAAAACACCTTACTGAGAGCTCTGTATTTCTATATTCTCTGTTTCTAAAAAAAATAAAGCTGCAACCTCTATAATCTAAATTCTTCCTGTTGCTGAGAAAACGCATTTCGGATAGCTCTGTAAACCTATATTCTCTTTGTTCTTGAACAAAAATAATTCTGAGACCTCTAAATATTTATTCTCTGTTCTAAACCAGAAATATTATTGAGAGCTCTATTCACCTATATTCTCTCTGTTCCTAAAGAGGAATATTACTATATGTATGTGTGTGCATCATTACAATGTGTAGATCAATCATACTTGAGATAAGATATTCCTGGAATACTTTACATCTCTTCATTCCTTCCTTCAGTTAAGATATATTTTTAATTTTCTTCTCTTCATTCCTTCCTTCAGTTTAAAAATATTCTTCTCTTAATCCCTTCTGTTTAGACATATTCTTACTTTTCTTCTCTTCATTCCTACCTTCCTTCAGTTTAGAAATATTCATACTTTTCTTCTCTTCATTCCCTTCTTCAGTTTAGAAATATTCATCTCTTCATTCCTTCCTTCAGTTAAGACATATTCTTAATTTTCTTCTCTTCATTCCCTTCTTCAGTTTAGAAATATTCTTACTTTTCTTCTCTTCATTCCTTCCTTCAGTTAAGATTTATTTTAATTTTCTTCTCTTCATTCCCTTCTTCAGTTTAGAAATATTCTTCTCTTCATTCCTTCCTTCAGTTTATAAATATTCTTACTTTTCTTCTTTTCATTCCTTCCTTCAGATTAGAAATATTCTACTAAATAGTTTAATATCTTCAGTTAACATAGTTTACTCATTCTTTTTTTCACTCTCTTTCATATAGTTTACTCTTTTTTAAGATTTAAACAAAATATTATTATTGTATGTAATAAATTGAATTTAAAGAAATTTGTTCTTTCCTTTTTTGGCTTCTTCTATGAATGGTAAAGAACACTGAAGGGAGAGGGGGGGCGGAAGGGATTTTAATAGTTGTGAACTATCAGGACGCTGATTTAACAGTTCGCCCATGCCATAAACTAGGATGTTTAATAGTTGTGAACTATAGGCACGCTGATTTAACAGTTTTCTCACCATAAACTAGGATTTTTAATAGTTGTGAACTATAGACACGCTGATTTAACAGTTCGCCCACCATAAACTAGGATGTTTAATAGTTGTGAACTATAGGCACGCTGATTTACCAGTACACTCATTATAAACTAGGATTTTCAATAGTTGTGAACTATAGGCACGCTGATTTAACAGTTCGCTCACCATAAACTAGGATTTTTAATAGTTGTGAACTATCAGCACGCTGATTTACCAGTTCGCTCACCATAAACTATGATTTTTAATAGTTGTGAACTATAGACACGCTGATTTAACAGTTCGCTCACCATAAACTAGGATTTTTAATGGTGTTGTGAACTATAGGCACGCTGATTTAACAATTCGCTCACTATAAACTAGGATTTTTAATAGTTGTGAACTATAGGCACGCTGATTTAACAGTTCGCTCATTATAAACTAGGATTTTGCTGTGTACTGCTGCAGTCCACTGACCAAAGAATAAGCGGGGTTTACCCTCTTTAATTTTTTTTTCTCTCTTTTCTCCTTTTTTTGCCGGCGAATACGATTAGATAAAAAACCAATATATAAAAAATATTTTAAACTATTATGACTAAAAAATAAATTTTTTAAAAATGCGAGTTGAAAATTTAGATGTTCTCCCTCCCCCCAATACCATTCTAAAATTAATTCATGCACAGGAATGAAGTCTCTGCCACTAATCCCTTTATCATTTCAACCCAATGTTATAGATAAAAGGTATCTCAAACTATGAATTCGGTTGGATTAAGTTAGGTTTACACCGTCATGTTGCAAAGATATATGGATTAGAAAACTTGAGTTTGTGGGAAGAACTCAGTTCCTTTCCCTCAACACTATCTATGATCCAACAACTCTTGTGATAAATATCTATTTTATTAAAGACAAGTTATTTATATTACAATGGTAACAGTTAACAAGCAGATGAAGTTAAACCGCTTAAACAAGTGGAAAAATAAAAGCTAGTTGGAATGTATATTATTAGCATAAATATTAAAAATATTGAATATTGGTAGAAAAATATCTATTTCTGTAGGTTGCAACTAAACTTCAGCTTTCAAGAGAGAAGAGACAAAAAACAAGTTTTATTTAGTTTTATTTTTCCACTTATCAAAGATGCAGGATAAATATATCTTTACAACTTATTTATAGAATAATTCAGTCTTAGGCCAGGCAAACAATTAAATAAATGTTATTGTTTAATAACTCCTCGATACTAGTCGGGAGCTCACCAGTATACACCGGAAACCAACCGGATATGGAACCACAAAAGTCCGCTTCCGAGCATAATTTATTTGTTGTCTGAGAACATATTTTTCTCTTTCTTTGACAGCAGTGTATGTAAAAAATACGTGTTAAATGTTTCTAGAACATAAAACAATAGAAATTAATTAAAATTTTTGCCGGGTTAATGCTAAATCAGAAATTCTTTTTATGCTGATTTGGTACATGGATTGCAATTCATTTAATGTTGCTTAAAAAATCTATTTAAAAATATCTGTTTAGTTTATAAAATTATTCTTAATAATACGCAATTTTTTGATACACGGCGCTACACATACTAAATAAAATGATGGATATCTTTATATCTTCTAAAGAAGAAAAACCAGAAAAAATAACTAGACTCATAACAATACATAAGTTTTACATGGATAATCTTTAATTTCTCTAGTGATGGTTAAGCAAATGGCGCCGAACACAGCAGGAATAGAAAAATAAAAATACTGGAATTGTATTTTATAAAATTGCTTGAACCGTAAAACTGGTCTACTTATAATGACCCAAAAGCCCCTTTACCAACGATCAACATCTTCTATTTTTAAATTTTGTTAATACCTATTTCAATTTCTTATATGTTCTCGGTACGGTACCCAATCTCATTTCTTGATCCTTATTTAAACCCTAAAGCTCCTTAGAAAATTTTAAACGCTATATTTTTTGTCTATATTCACAACCCCTCCCCCATGCGGTTAAAAAGAATTGCTTAATAATAAACTTGCTTAAAGTTTTTTTTTGTCTATATTGTATGACATCAGAACCGACTGTAGATATTTTCCCCCCTTACATTTACGGTTTTCAGATGTAAACTATTTACTTACAATGCCTAATTATTTAATATACCACTAAAAATAAAATATTTCAGGCAGGATACTAAATTCAAGTTTCAGGATATCAATATATCCTTTATGAGTAACTCTGTGTAAAGTATTTAAATATGGAATTTTTATATTATTTGTGTGAGTTCTCCCTCCAATGCCCAGTGTTGTGTTTTCTTCTATTCCTGGTGTATTCTACGGGAAAAGACTCGAGGTTTCACCAGGTTCGAGGTAAAAGGACAAGTGTCCAACTATTGGTAGAAAAGCGTTTAGTGATGAAGTAGTAGAAATAGGTTACATAATTGAGCCTACATGTATACGAAGTATATTTATATATATATATATAATGCAGCTTGGCTGCTTTGACCCGTGTTGTTGTTGTTACAGTTTTCTTCTTATCTTAAACCTTCAGAGCGTCCACTCTCCGACTATATATCTATTCCCAAACATTAAACTGTGTATATAAATTTTCTCCGACTTGATTCATACTTTTTGGTCCGGTTAATTTTGTAGAGATTCAACTCCCCTAGCTCCATAAGACAAAAAAAATTATAAATATTCGATTGATAAATCAGGGTTCAAGGAACTAGAATATATTAGTCTTTAAAGTGGATCTCTACTGGAACCTTGATCTATCTCTAGAATATAAAACAATTGAGTGGACACCCTGTCGGTGAATGGTGAGATGAAACCCTGCAAGATTAGAGGGGGCTAGCTAAGCGACCCCCTCATGTCAACGAAACCCTGGAAGAGATCCCTAAACAAAGGGAATTCTGATAAAGATTCTCTGAAAAGAATCTTCGGCTGAGAAGATTTCAGCTCCGGAAAATGAGTTCTATCTTCTTAGCTCAACAAAGGACATCCTGGAAATACGATTAAGCTAGAATTATTTTTTTGGGATTTCGTATTGATTTAGTCTAGGTTTGTTTAACGTCTTGTTATTTATAGTTTTCGTTGGATTAAAAAAAAGTAATTTTCCGCCAGATTATTTTTTATTTTTAATACAAAGTGTTTCTCTCTATCTGCTCTATATTTAGTGATTACTTTACCTGAGCAGTTTCCGTTTGCATCGGAGGAGCTTGGAACAGATTGGCAGTGTGTACTTAGCACTCTAGGTTGGTTCTGTAAATCAAGGTGGATAAAATTAGCTCGGACTGGATCAGATTCTTCGTCTCGTCTCTGCTGGGATCCATCTACACGTTTCAGCTCCGTGCCCTCGATCCGTCTCAACTGAATCTATAATTTAGGAGAAATATTTCAAATATTCAACATTTTCTAGTTTAACTCCTTTATAATTAAAAAATGACAAACCAAATGCATTTTAACAGTCGGGCGTGTAGGGGAATTGAGTCTTTGCCACACACTCTGATTAGTCAAACCATAAATTCTATTAGGTCAAATAATCTAAGTTTGAATTATCAAAGGTTTACACCATCAAAGACTCAATTCCTTTAGCAATTGGTGAACATCAGTTTAATTCAAACCTACCGTTTTCACTTTCTCTGCTTTACTATGAATAAACCAGAGAACCCCGGTCGAGCTTGCTCCCACCAGGAAGGAAGCTAAAGATATTGCTACAGCCACCTCTACTGTCACCCCAACTAGGGTTGACTGTGGTGCGTGAGCCCCATCCTGCTCCTCCTCAACCTGATCTAGGGTAGGCTCATGAAGGATGGGATCTGCGGCAGGTTTGATCTGACCGATAACATCTCTGGTGACCGGGAGTATCTGTAGAGGACCGCGGACAGTAACCTGCTGGATACTTGACTCTCTAGAAGTAAATTTTTATTATTGACGAGATCTCGAAATTTCAATATTTTTTTATTTCTTTTTCACTTTCGAGAGTTCGTACAGAATAAAGATATTCAAAATTCTTCGTAAAAGCTGCTCGTACAATTGGTAGAAACTTTGAAGTCTTTTTGGGATCAATGTCTTAACACGAAGTAAAATTTGCAGAAACAATTGCCGACAACGTGCCGAGATCTAATCAAATGATTTTACAAAAACCATTTAATAACAGATTTCAAACAGTAATCTATATTTGATGTAAACTCATGAAGTGTCTGTTAGTGTTTTATTACGAACTAGGATTTTAGCGCGCGCCCATCTTCTATTTCAATTGTTAACATTTTCTCTTTGTATACATTGTAAAACCAAAAAGAATATCGCGGATTTTATCAAAAAAAATTAATGGATTTTCAAATTTTTCAAAAATCAAATTTTTTAGAGGCAAATTTTTGAAAATTCGATCATCCATAAGCCTCCTCTGGGTTAACATTTTAGCTCGATTGGTTCAGTCGTTTTGACGTTTATTGGATACAAACAAACAGACAAGCAAAGTATATATATAGATGAGTTATACAAAAATGTTGCGGATTTTGAATATCATTAAAAAAATATTGATGCAAACACTAATTCTGAACGTAGAAAAAGTAGACCACGCTGATTAAACATTAAACGCACATTTTTACAAAACTTATTGGTGCGCATATTAAAGTCGATCTTGCGGTAATAACTGAATTGTTAATTACCTGTGAGTCCTACTAGCACTGCAGGATACTGCGGGATCCTCGCACCTTAAATATAAAAAAAATTAAAAAGATTTTAAAAATAAATTCAAAGTTGTCGTTTTATATGATATGTTGTGTAAAAACTTGTAAACTTTTAGTTACATTCAAAAAGAAAACACAGATTGAAATCCCTATTAGACCGTACCCGTGTTTCTTATGTCTAGATTAAAATGGACATCGTATCGTATCGTAATGTATCGTATCGTATCATAATGTATCGTATCGTATCATATTGTATCGTATCATATTGTATCGTATTGTATCGTATCGCATCGCATCGCATCGCATCGCATCGCATCGTATCGTATCGTATCGTATCGTATCGTATCGTATCGTATCGTATCGTATCGTATCGTATCGTATCGTATCGTATCGTATGATAAAGCTCGTCGTTTATATATGTACTACCTGAAGGGCCCGGCGTTGCCCATGGAAATTTTTTGTTTGTTTTTAAATAAGAACAAAATTTCATTTTTTAGCCTACAACACCCCCCGGCCACCCATGAGTGTCCACAAAAAAATTCAGCCCAATTGGTCCAGCCCTTTGGCCGGCTATACGCAACATATAGTTGACTGTCTTGTTTTATTATATGAATATATGCATTCTGTATTCTGTATGTCAGCTATAGCTGGCAAAACGACTGGAACAAATTGGCTGAATTTTTTTTTGGGAGTAAATCAATGATTATCCTGAGGGTTACATTGACTAAAAATCGTATTTATTTCCCACACTTTTAAAAATTCGACTGGCAACGCCGGGTACTTAAGCTAGTGTTTAAAAAACGTCTATTTTTACCTGAATATATTCCCCTGTGCTCCAGCACTAGTAGCAGAGCATAATCCCATTCTACACTGTAACCAAACCTTTCCTAGTGCTGACATATCCTCGCTGATCTAAAGAAATAAATAACAATTATAAAAATTGCCAGAATTATTGATACTTTTTAAATCTTCCCCCCTCCCCAATTAAAATTATTTAATTCTCTATTCTTAAACATTATTATCGCTGAATTCGATCTTTTGGGTGAAAATGCGTTTTTCTTACAGAACTTAACAAGACCTGTTAGACCCAATTAATTTTGTCTACCATTAAACGTCGAACATTTTTTCATAAGAATAAACCCCTCCAAGAATGCGATTACAATGTTTTTATAAACTTTGATAATCACCTTAAAAGAAAAGGCGGCATTGGCCGACGATTTGTCCCAATGCATAGTGACCTCTGGGTGGGCCGGGCAGCCTGCCATTACTAGCTTGAGGTCAGATTGTCCGGCGTGTGAGGATACCCTTGGACTACTGGAGAGCCAGCACTGCTCTATAGCCAGGGCAAGATAACGTACAGCGTTTATATGACTTTGAACGTAAAGCTGGTCATGAAGGGCAACCTAAAAAACAATGTTTAAAAAACTAAAACAAGTTTAACCTAGGAAAATATCAGAGCCTATTCAGGAAGATTTCTTAAACTGTGCTGCGTACAAAATCTCATCTAGTGAATAGTGTTTTAGTGATTCTATTCTGATGCCAAATGCAAGCAGCAAGTTGTTTGGATAATTACCAAATAAACAGTTAAGAGTATATTTATAATTCTAGAACTCCCTTGACCGTAGCGCTTACCGGAGCCGAGTCCAGTTTAGATTTGATCAGCTGAGTCGGAGTTCCAGCCTGGATTAGCTCAACCTCGATCCCATACATCTCATCTCCGGACTCTATGTTGTCCAGGTCAGGTTCCCTCTCCTCCTCCTCTTCCTCCTCAACCTCTACCTTCTCCTTCTCCTCCTCAACTACCCGGGATATACCAGGTATACCAGGTCGGAACTTACACAAATACGGAATCCTAAAAAATGTATTTAAACGGACTTTCAGCAAAATTTCAAGTGACTCTCAATGCAAGATGGCACTACCCGATTTACTTCGTTACCCTTGAAACCTCTATCTAATTAATAATCTCGTAAAATAATGATTTGATAAAAATGAAAGGAACTGATTAATGATTACTCTCCTCATCCTCTAAATTTACTGCCAGGTAAATAGCCAAAATTCAAGATATCTAAGGATTAACACCATCAGGTTACAAAGGTTTAGGAAAATTAAAAATTTGCGCTTCAGTTCCCGTGCTATCAAAATAATAATGGTTTTTGTTAGAAGACAATGTTTATCCTACCTGATCTCGTCTTCTAATCCCTGAACATGAAGGAAAAGATTGTTCTTGTAAAGCGGTGCTTCACCGTAGGTCATTGCCGTTGACCCACACGCTGTGCTGTGGGAGGACACTACGAAGTGCGTCCCGTTATCACGGGCCGTGCAGCTGGGGTCATTCAGGTTTATTTTTACAATACCCATCTCCTGGACCACAGAGGAGGGGATAGTCAGGGAGATCTTAGAGATAGAACAGGTCTTAGACATTGTGTTCTTTACAAGGTTCACAATGCTTTCAGGTATATAATAATATTAATAAACCTGAAATATTAGATTGTTGATCGTTGCTAAACTGAACGGGAAGAGTTTCCTTATCCCGGAGCAGATTACTCCGATCCCGTTCCAAGAATGTTGAAACCTCTGCAATATTAAGTTTATTTTTAACAAATTATATCGATATTTAAACGCATGCAAACTTTTACTTAAGAAAATAAAATTGCTGAAACAAAAGCAGAGAATAAAATAAATCAGTTCCTACAAATAGTTGAAAAATAGAATTAAGGAAAAATTTTCGATTTATTATAATATTATAATTCAGGTGACTATATTTTTTTTTCAGAATTAACCCCCCCTTGATTTATTTATTTTACCCAATGCAGAGAATAAAACCCTAACAAAAGCATACCTAACTTCTGTGAACAAAAAGACTTTTTAAAAAAGAGGGGGGGGGGGATTTTTCCAGAAAATGTTCACTAGATTTACTACTTGCCTAAATAGAAACTCTTCTTTTCAAATAGAATTTTTTATCTCAATGTTGAGAAACATTCTACTTCATTTAACAAAATAATTGAACAATTTTAAACTGAAACATATTTTCCATCAATCCGGAATATAATGTGAACAAAACACTTCAAATTGTGAACCAGTAAAAAATGATTTAAAATATTTCTTAACTATCATTATCCTTAACTATGGGAGTTTGTTTATTCCAATTGAACGTAGAAACAAATGAAAAAATCCAATAAACCGATGAAAAAATAAACAAATGAATTCAATATACCAACAGATCCGACTTATAAACTTAGCCATAAACAAATGAACCCTAATGAACCAACAAATCAAACATCAATTAACCAATTTAACAATAATTTACTAATAATTCCATTTAATAATCCTTTAAAACAATGTTGAAACGTAACATGTTCCAATGTATAAATATACCGAGGTACAAATATATTAATCAATGAGCTAATCGAATCATTTAAAAACAAATAAACCAACCAAATATTAAACTATTATACCAATCGTTTAAGAATAAATAAACTAAGATACCAACCAAACCTTAAATAATCGAACCAATCAATCAATAAACTATTGAATCAATCAATCAATAACCTGTTGAACCAATCAATCGTTAACTATTTAACCAATCAATCAATAACATAATAAACCAATTAATCAATAAGCTTTGAACTAATGAAACAGTCAACTAATAAACAAACAAATCGTTAAACTATTGAACAATTTAATCAATAAGCTACTTCCCCATTCAGGTAAACTATTGAACTAATCAATCAATAAACTATTTACACATTCAGATAAACTATTGAACTAATCAATCAATAAACTATTTAGCCATTCAGGTAAACTATTGAACTAATCAATCAATAAACTATTTAGCCATTCAGGTAAACTATCAAACTAATCAATCAATAAACTATTTACCCATTCAGATAAACTATTGAACTAATCAATCAATAAACTATTTACCCATTCGATAAACTATTTATCAAATATAATTTATAAGTTTTGATTATTTGAGTGTTGGCTGCTGACTAAGTATCTACTTGTAAATGCACAATAAATGTATATTTAGTTGAAATTTTAATATGAATAGTTTTTTTTTTTCAACAAATACCGATTAGAACAAAATTATTAAACATTATATTTTCAATTGGCTCATATTAAATTTTCTTTTGTGTTTTGTTTTTAGCTGAACCATAACACATAATTATTTTGTATTTTGTGTTTGAAAATAAATACTATAACTATAACTATAAAACAAAATCAATCAATAAAATAATTGACTTATCAATCAGTAAAAGAATGAACCAATAAGTCAGTTAATAACTATTAAACCAATCAATCAAAAAAATTATAAAGAATTCGAATATTCAGATAAAAAATGTACCTCGTCTAGATCTCGGAGGTATCTGTATCTGGAGAAGGTTAGCGCTGTGTACTCGAAGGTAGGAGAGAGGTAACCCATAGAGATCTGTGACACGCCGCATCAGCGCGTCAAAGTCTCCGGAGATTTCAGTCTTATCGATATTCAGTCTTTGTTGGGTGCTCAGAGACAGGGAGTCAACAGTATTGTTTCCTGTTAAATAATATACACTTCAGAAACATCTTCCAACTTAATTTTTTACAAAAAAAAAATCTATTTTTCCAGAAGCAGAAGTTATAGAGCAATTTAAAGGAACTGAGTTTTTGCCACAACTCCGACTTTGCTTTTAGAAATTTTATATTTTAACATTAAAATAGTTTGATTTTGAAAAATCAAGTGTTTACATCATCAGGTTGAAAAGATATAGGGATTAAAAAATTTGAGTTTGTGACAAAAACCTAATTCCTTCAGAATTTTATATATTGTTAGCATTGGTATTAGAAGAAAGATATTTCAAGAAGAGAAAAAAAAACCTGCAGCAATTGTAAGGTTCCCAAGAACCTGATCAGATCTTATTTTCCATAAAACAGGACGATCACTCTTCAGGATGATTGTCATATTCCTCCTCTCCGAGTTATTGACAGGCTCCTGGCTCTCCAGGGTTGGCAGGATGTTCATCTCTACCCAATCCTGGTGCAGGGAGTGTCGAGGACTCCTGATAAAATATCTTGGATTAATTTTTGGTTCCAAGTGTAGACGGGGAAGGTTTTTTAGTACTCCTTAAAAACTGAAGTCATGACTGACAGTGCCCAAACCGTACGACCGATTTAAAATGAATTATTCAAATATATCTTCACTTTCAAATTTTTAAATATAATCGAACTTTACAAGGATTTACGAAATCCTTTTCTCTAAATGTATCCAATACCAACCTTTAAAAATCAAATGGTTTTTGAATAATTAAAAGATGATTAAAATTACTTCCCTTAGACACAAGAACTCGTTTCTAACCAGAATTTGAGATTTTATATTCCCAGAATTTTTAGACCTCATTGTGTTAACCGATATTTCAAACTACATTTAACTACATTTCATTGATTTATCCGAATTAATAATTTGAAATACCAGAAGTCTACGACATCAGGTTGCAAAGATAAAAAGATTTTAAAAATAAAGTTTATGGAGACGAAGAAATGATTGCAAGATTGAGAAGTCAGGAATCAGTTAAAAAAGGAAAACTTTAAAGTTTAGTTTCTAAAGAACTAACACTAGACTAGGATAGAGAAAACAAATTAATCCAATTCCTAGAGGCGGAGGGTTGAGTTTTCAGATCTATAACATGAACATCATTAGGAAGAAGCCCTGCTGCCTCCTGATGGAAGCAACCAAAGGGCAGGATACGGGTGGTGGTGTATGCTCTGACAGCAGGACTATCAGAGTTCAGATTCAGGTCACAGGGTTGAGTCGGCAGATCTAAACACGGGACGGATAATAAAAACTTTTTATATTTTACAAATTTTTTCCCCCAAAAAATTAAATTAAAAATTCTTATTTTTAAACATTATTTTTAGAAAGAAGATAAGATTAGAAAAACAAAAAAATATTCTGCCTTCTAACGATGTTGGCCAGAAATAATCCGTTCCTTCTTAATTTTTAAAATAAAAAATAAAAAACTCCATTTAAAAAAATGTAATTGTAAGTGTATCGCTTTTTAGGGTAATTTAATTAAATTGAATTTTAAAGCAAAAATTTGTTCAAAATCGAGTCTGTATTTGAGAAATATTAATTAAATAAATGGTAGTATAGTAGTTAGGGGCGTATATTTTACAGAACGATTTTAGATGAATTGAAAAATGAAATTAAATTTGACCTCATGGAAAAGACAATAATTTTTTAAATCTTTTTGATTCTTTTTACCGAAAAATTCATTGATTTTTACAATTCAACGAAGAAAACCCTGAAAAGAAAGAAAAATTATTTTTGGAGAAAATATACACCCCTGATAGTAGGTATACTTACTTTGAGGTAGTTGAATAACTATTTTATTAGCTTTGTCTATAGTAGTGTAGGAGGTGATCAGCGAGGTATTATATTTCCCTGGTGAGTCCAGGAAGGAACTGGTAGATGGAACTCCTCCATCTTTAAGAACCACGTGGGACTTCAGGGATACAAGAATATTCACGATACTAAGTTTAGTTTCAAGTCTCCAGGTGGTCGGTTTACCAGAATCCAGGACGAGAGATACATTGTCTCCGAGAGTTCCTAGATAGTTTAAAGGTTGAATTTAGTCGTACTGTCCAGTCTGGACTATAGACTAGGTACTCGACACAGCACGTTTTATGCAACAAATGTAGCCAGACAAGATCACAGTGGAGGCAATATATTTTATTTTTTATTCGACGTGCTGTTTTAAATTATAAACAGTTTCAATATTCTACAGAGTTAAAGAACATAATTTAGAATTTACATAAATAGGATTCATATTTTATATACCCTATCTTTGCAACTCAATGTCGTGGACCTTTTTAAACTATTTTAAACCATGCATTTTGTTAGATCAAATAATCAAATATAGAAGTATCAAAGGTTTACACCATCACTTTGCAAAGATATAGGGATTATAAAATTTGAGTTTGTGACAAAGACTCTATTCCTTTGTCTTTTATCCTTTTGTTAGAATTTGTAAAATTTACAAACCCAAAATTGTAAATATTTAGTATTGCACACTTTTTATTTATGTTTAAGTTCCTATCTAAATTAGATATTTTTTAGCTTATTCATTTCTTTCTTTTCATTTTTTTTTCGTCCAAAACTTTGAACAGTACATCCTCAACTAAGCTTTTGTTGTGTTCTGCAGTGATTTGCAGTACATTGACCGAAGAAATAGTAGGGCTTTGTGGAGAGTGAGTAAATAAATACCTGATATTTGCAGATGAACTTGGTCTCCCGGAGTATTCAGTCTTATTACATGAGTAAATCCATCCTTAGCAGGAGCCCCAACACACCCTGAACAAAGGAAATCAGTTTTTATCACAAACCGTAATTTTTTATCACTACATCTTTACAATTGGATGTTCTAGGCTTTTGGTATTTCAAACTATAAATTATGTAAGATCACGTCTAAGTTTGAAATATCAAAGATTTATACCATCAGGTTGCAAACATATGGGGATTAGGAAATTTGAGTTTGTGGCGAAAAAGAAATAAAACAAGTGGAGAACGGCATCTTAAGGTTTCGTTTTTTTTTCTTGAAAATATATGTTTCTGAGGTTACAACCTTCGGACCACTAGAAAACATACGTTTACACCCTAACCGTTAAAGTTAGAGGTACAATTTTATTTAATGAGCACTGAGCAGGCCTTGAAAAGTTGGACTATGGACATGTTTCACACTCCCTTATCTCAGCTCTAAGGAAAAAATCATGGGAGGATGGAAAACACCCCCCCCCCCCATCTATATTAGACAAAAATAGCCCAATTGGGATAGGGTTAAAAAAATGAAAGTTTAACCGACCTATTGCATGTTGCTCCTCCTGAAGAAAGGATGAAAAGTACTGGGTCTGTAGCGGAGTATTCCGTCCACAGTACTGGGACGGAGGTTCAGCTCCGCCCCTGGCTAACAGTACAACCAGGATCAAGAGTAGGGTTGGATCAGCCATTACTCACCATCATAGTTCACGGTTTCACATAATCTACAAAAAAATAGATAAAAAATTTCTTTCCTGGTATCCCAATCCAAGCTTTTAACATTTGATTTATGTTTTATGATTTATTTCCAATTCAAGTAAAAATACTCAGTTCCGCCGACTTTTATAATCTTCTACTTGTAAAAAATTCGATTATTTTGCTTACTGATTCTGTATATCTATGATGAAGACGATGAAGACGACTATCGATCTCAATTTTGATTTTTATCAAGCTGTTAGACAGCACGGATGCATAAAAACATAGAAGTCAAGAGAAGCTGTCGATTAAAAAACTTATCTTTAATTACTTGTGAACTTGTAATTCGAAAAAAGCTCCTGTTAACAATCTAACTTAAATAAAATTGTATTGATGTAATCGCCTACCACTGCATTTGAAAAGTATAACCAAATTCAAGATTAACTTTAACCGGTAACTTTCAAAAGATACCGTCGCAGAGCCGGTAGCTTTTATATTGACGGAACTAATTTAAACCATTCCAGCTCAATTGAAAACTTGAATTCGATTTTATTATTATGTTTAAAACATTCTTGACCCCCCCCCCCTTTATATAAATTAATTAATCTGGAAAACACCTCGTTATATCGAGAAAGCTAGGTTTCACCCCATATTTATCTGAAGATCCAGAGAGTCCAGTATTCTGTAAAGATGAGGATTGGTTCAACGTAGTTACTGGTTTTCATCAATTCAAATTCTGAAATGAAAAATTTAATTTGAAAATTGGTAAACTAGGACGGACCCATTAGTATTATAAAAGACTATAGTTCCTTTGGACTGTGGTGTATGTTGGATCTGAGTTTCACTTTAATGCCTTAATTAACTCTCAATTCATTATTGGATAAATAATATAAATATTTTAATAATAATTTTAAATGTTGAATTGAACTTAATGTTATAGGAAGTATAATTATAATTGTTTTCACTTAAGTAACAGGTTGACTATGTCAATTCAAAGTCCGTTTACCTTTTACCAATTTGCAAATCTATTAGGAATATTTCATTTTAAGTAAGCCACTTAACATTGCAATTAGAACCGTAAAATTTAGTTGAACAAAATATCGATATTTAAAGTACCATTAAACACAGAGAATTCACAAATCGCAGATAAATAATGCGATTTTTAGCACGCTGTTGCCCCATGCGTGCTCAAACGTTAATGACATTTCATTGTTTTCAATTGCGTACAAGGGCGGCCATGCTTTACACTGCTTTTAAGTTTTATTGCTTTTACGCACAAATAAGGTGTCAGAGGAACATACTGCCGGACATTAATCAAAGGTCGTCTTATTTGATTCAGAATCAGATTCAGAACTACAAATGTTAAAGTTCAAAATGATCTTTAATTTAACATTTAACGACCCTCTTTAAATTCTTGGTTTCCTTTTTGCAGATTGCACTATTTCATTTTTGATTTACATGATTTTATAAATTTTATCGAACCTGAATCCATGCAGTTCCTCCAGTTCCGCCAGTTCCCTTCCTCAAAATTTTCGCCAGGAGAAAAAAAATTATCAATAATTTAGTTAAATCAATGAAGTTCATACATATCAGAGTGATTAAAAGTTTTCATTATGATGTATGAGTATAGATCTAAGCTGCTCGAACTCATCTTATCTCAAATCGATAATTATCAGCTCTGATCTCTACTTAATCATATAGGCTTATGTTCTATTTATTCTCTGAATCCGTCCTGATCTGTTTTTCTTCTATAACTGTGCTCCATCCAAGATCATGATTATGCTACTTATTTTCGGAACCCGCGCCCTCACTAGGTTTGAATTACAAACTCTTTATACTGATCGTCCTAAATTACCTATTCCATCTTCTTTGAATCCGTCACTGGAGTTTTAATTCAGTCCTTATAGATTGACTATTTTATTTATTCCCGAGTTCCGTCCTACCTTTTATTTTCTTCACTGCGTCTTGAATTGATTTTTTTTATTCTCTAAATCTGTCCTATACTTGATCATGGGTTTTTTTTACGCAGCTCATGGTTTTTTCCTTCTTATCTTTAATTCGTCCCAGCTAAAATATTCTATACATTTTTTTAATTCTTATTATCAATTTTTTTGATCTTACATTGCTCGCATTTTAAGCTGAGGTAAGCAGTGTGTTTTTTGTCACTATCTGTGATTTTCTAATCCTTATAGCCTTCCAAACCAATGTCGTAGACCTTAGATATTTCAAACTGAACTTTGTATAGATCAAATAATGTAAGTCTGAATTTTCAAAGGTTTACACCGTCAGGTTGCAAGGTTATATCGATTAGAAAATTTTAGTTTGTGACAAAGATTCAATTATTTTATGATATTATCTTATTCTTGTTATCCGTCCCAGTCCAAGTTTGGTTTTAGTTTATCACCTTTTATTCTTTCCATCCGTCTCAGTTCAAGATTGGTTCCAGTTTATCATATCCTTTTATTCTTTTCATCCGTCCCAGTTCAAAATTGGTTCCAGTTAATCTTATTCTTTTATTCTTTTTAGTCCAAGATTGGTTCGAGTTTATCATATCCTTTTATTCTATTAATCCGTTATAGTTCTAGATTGGTCCCAGTTTCATATCCTTTTATTCTATCAATCCGTTATAGTTATAGATTGGTCCCAGTTTATCATATCCTTTTATTCTATCAATCCGTTATAGTTCTAGATTGGTCCAAGTTTATCATATCCTTTTATTCTATCAATCCGTTTTAGTTCTTTATTGGTCCCAGTTTATCATATCATTTTATTCTATCAATCCGTTGTAGTTCTAGATTGGTCCCAGTTTATCATATCCTTTTATTCTATCAATCCGTTATAGTTCTAGATTGGTCCCAGTTTATCATTTACTCTTATTCTATTTATCCGTCCCAGTTCTATATTGGTCCCAATTTATTATGTAATTTTAGTCTTTTTATCCGTCCTAGTTAAAGATTGGTCACAGGTCATGATATCTCTTAATTCTATTCTAATCTTCTGAACCGTTCCATCCCTAGATAGGTCCAAGTGTGTAACATCCGTATTTTCTATCCGTCCGTCCCTGTAGTCCCAAATTGGGCCCAGTTTATCATGTCTCTTTAGTTGATCAATTTGTACAAATCCTAGATTGTACGGTTGTACCCAGTTTTAACATTGTTATATGCCATCAATCCGTCCCAGTCTTAAACTTGTTTTCTGTTCGTCCCAGTCCAAGATGGGTCCCAACTTATATATTCTTTTATTCTTTTTACCCGTCCCAATCCAAGATTGGCCCCAGTTTATTATATCCTTTTATTCTTTCCATTCGTACCAGTCCAAGATGGGTCTCAGTTAATTATATCCTTTTGTTTATTTCATCCGTCCCAGTCCAAGTTGGGTTCCAGTTTATCGTATTCTTTATTCTTGTGTTACATTCCAGTCCAAGTTTTGTCCCAGTTTATGATATCATTTTATTCTTACATCTGTCCCAGTCCAAGGTTGGTCCCAGTCTATCATATCCATTATCCTATCAATTCGTCCCAGTCCAAGGTTGGCTCTAGTTTATCATATCCATTATCCTATCAATTTTTCCCAGTCCAAGGTTTGCCTTTGTTAATCATATCCATTATCCTATCTATTCGTCCCAGTCCAAGGTTGGCTCTAGTTTATCATATCCATTATCCTATTCATTCGTCCCAGTCCAAAGTTGGCCCTTGTTTATCATATCCATTATCCTATCTATTCGTCCCAGTCCAAGGTTGGCTCTAGTTTATCATATCCATTATCCTATTCCTTCGTCCCAGTCCAAGGTTGGCTCTAGTTTATCATATCCATTATCCTATCAATTCGTCCCAGTCTAAGGTTGGCCATAGTTTATCATATCCATTATCCTATGAATTCGTCCCAGTCCAAGATTGCTCACCAGTTTATGAAATCCATTATCCGATCAATTCGTCCCAGTCCGAGGTTGGACCTAGTTTATCATATCCATTATCCTATCCATTTGTTCCAGTCCAAGGTTGGTCCCAGTTTATCATATTCTTTTTCTATCAATTCTTCCCAGTCTAAGATTGTCTCACAGTCTAAAGGTCTAGCATTCTTTATTTATTTTTTATTCTAGTATATAATATCCTCTATTCTTTTAATCCGTTCTACTCAAGTCCTAGATTAGTCCAAGTTTATGATATCCTTTTAATCTATTTTTTGTTTAGTTTTAAACTAAATAATTTTGAACAAGTGTATACAGGGTTACTCACAAAGGATGAGACTTCAGAGACGATTATACGGAATCAATACTGTCTGTTTCCTTATATTCATGGATGCGGGGATGCAGTTGTAAGACTTTGTTTAAGAAGAACATTTAATTTAACCATAAAATTCGCATTTTGAAAGAGTTTTAAGTCGTCTTTACAGTCTCATTCTTTGTAGGTAAACACTTTATTCTATGAATCCCTAATTTTATATTTTTTCAAACCTTTGTATTAAATTTTTACTCTTTAGTTGATACATCCGAAACATTGTTCCGTATCTACGCTTTCTCTTCATTCTCTGTCTAGATCGTGATTCTTAAAAACTTGTTTTGTATCATTTGTACTTTAAACAAATTGAGTAACATAAATTTTACTTTATTACTTACACTGGAGTCGTTCAATTTTTATTTGACAATTCAAATTATAGATCTTCAAAATTAAAATATTTTAACACGTTTTATCGAAATCCTTTACAAGAGTTAAGCATAATCCTTGATGTGGGTCACCCTGGTTTGTATAAAATATCCTAATAATCTAATAAAGTCTCTATCAGCTTAGAACTTAAACGATACTTGATCTCTCTCCACGAAGAAAATAATGTTCTAAATCAATGATTTATTCAACCTGAAACATGCTTTGATTTATTTATCCAAGAGCAGGATCAAATTTCATTGCTAAGGTAAATTCAACGTGTATATTAATGCAGGAGGAGCACAGATGTTTATATTTCAGTCTACATATTCTTCACAGTTTATTTAACATATGTTTGTTCAAATATTCGTCAGAGAATAGTTTATATGATTCGGAATCGAGATAAAAATGTTATTATTGTAGAGATAGTGCTAATGTGGGACTCGGATCAATAAATCGATCCTTGGCTCAGGGTTCCTGGCGGAGCAGGTGCAGGTTCTGAACTGATCTCAGTTCCGTATCAGCCTTCGGAGCTTTCTCGTTCTTTCTACAGAGCTTTCAGTTACTTTAAATCCCGCAGGCTTTCTAAATTAAATAACATTGAGCTTTCTTTTCAGCCTCCGACTTTCCCTTGATTTCCCCCAAGTTTTATCAATATCCCCCCCCCTCTCCCTGATTCCCCCGGACTCCGACCAATAAACAATCCTTCCAACAGATTTCGTCCAATCCTGGTCCCAGAATCTAGGCCGGGTGTTGGTTCTGCTCTACCATCGATCCAATATCCTGCCATCTTATTCATCCTCAGTGCATCAACTTATTCATCTGGTTAATCCTACTCAGTGCATATATAGTTACTGTCCTACAGATAAACAAGCCTCTATTTATCCAGACAAAGTAAATCTAACTCAGTAAAACTCTACTGCAACTGGAAAGCTTGAAATCTTAGAAAGCTGGAAAGTTCATAATTGTGAGCTGGGGAAAGTAGTTCGCGCTCTCTTCTAGAGAGAAAGGTGCGAAATCACAACAAGTCTGTGGAAAAAATGTAAACTCTGAAAAGTTTAGAAATAAATTAAAGTGAAACCCAGCATAGGAGAAGGTGGAGTTAATAATGGAGGACGAGGAGAATTCTCAGGGTACTGAAACTCATGTTTACAGGGTAGAGGAGTTCAATACAGACCTTAGTTCTCCGTCTAGATCTGGCAGTAATATAAACAAACAATCCCATATTATAGTTTCATCCAACGGGAATATTATTCCTGTATCTTCTCATGTTATTGTTACATCGGGGGGACAATTTACTCTTTCAAATAACAAATCTATAGATCTCATTGGAGAAGAGTTTGTCTCCAAGCTTAAGTCTGAACCTGAGCAGGAGGAAGATAAAAGATCTCCAGTAGTGATGAGTATTGCTTCTATGAACACAGAAACCAACACAGTGAGTGCCGGAGGAGAGCAGAGTCATCTTGTCTACTGTAACCTGAATGATCTAGATCTCTCCGGGTCTGGAGAAACATACAGTCTTGCTTCCCTTCACAGTCTGGCGGAGGCAAGCAGCACGGTTCAGCAGCAGGAGAGGAATTCATACTCTAACGTCTCTACAATCCTTCTTCAGGGTGGAATACTCCAGGTACAGTTTAATACTACATTCACTATCAAATCAAAACAAATAACTATTTGTATTTTTTTTACTAGTATTAAGCTTAGACTTTTGTTTAATTCAACAAATTGCAAATTGTCCGTGAAAAAGCCTGTCTAATATGCATTTAAGACGACATTTAGGTCAGTGCACACGTATCTTTTAGAATGCCGCGGACTATGATGTACCTTTTGTTGTTTTTCGAAGGAGTATACTAAAAAACATAAATCTCTTAAGTTATTGTAACATAGTTTCCGACAGGTAGGAACTAACTATTTTGTCTAAATAAAATATAAAATTGAGATAGTTCAATGTTTTTGGTTATTGTTATTTTATTTTTGATTTAATTGTAAATAAGGCGCGCGCATACATACACAGTGCACAAGATCAAATACAGATGTATTCCTTCCGCCATACCCCTGATGCTATTATACTTTTTTTGGTAAATCTCATCGTCGTTTAATATTTTTTTAAAACCATTACATAATACTTATTCAAGAAATGAACTGTCACTTCTGTGTTTTGAATATAGGAATCAAGCACTGATCTCCATCTTATTCAGATCTAAGAATTAATATAATCCCTCATCGATATCCTTTAATGTTAATACCCAGCAAGGGATTACTATTTGTTAATACCCAGCAAGGGATTACTATTGTTGAAGGATCAAGCAATGATCCACCTCAAAGTTGAAAGTGCGGAATTTCCCAGAGAATGAAGAAGGTTGGTCATGTGGTCGCAGCGCCCGTCCCCTAGCCTATCCTAGAAGCGACGCTCGGCCCCCTTGCCTGTCCTAGCCGCAGCGCTCGGCCTCCCCCCTAGCCTGTCCCAGCCGGGGGGGGGGGTCCAAAAATCGTTCTTTAGAACGACCCAAAAGTGCCCACATTGGATATGAAGATCAAGCTTTCAGGATTAGTGATACTCCGCAGAAAATTTTTGATCACAGGATTCTTCAGATATTGAATGGTTCGGTCTAATTTTGAAATTTGTTTTCAGTTGAAGGGAGAGGGTGGAGGGGGACTGGTTTCTGGTTCTGGTCAAGATCAGATTTTAATGACAGTCGATTCTAAGTTTGGGAGCCCGCAAGACAGGATGGTTCCATCTACTCAGGTACCATTTAAGCTATTTCATATTAAACCAGAAATTCATACTTTTATCCCAGTGTGAGCAACATTATTAGCCTTGATCTTCCCTGATTTTTAGCTTTTTCGTCGTGAAAATTTACTTTTCTTGTTTTACGCTCGTAATGAAATATCTTTAAAATAAAAAAGTCTTGAAAACACTCGGAAAATTCCCGGTGAAGTTGGTAGTTCTCTTTGGTATGGTATTTAAAGGGTTTAATCAGTGAGATGGGGGAATTAAATGATTTTTAGAGGAAAATAATTAAGCTTTTGTATCATAAAGGAATACAAAATAGCATTTTGATGTTCAATGTTTAATTTTCCCCCATATCATCAAAAAGATAATTTATTCTTCAAATTTTATACCCCTGGATTAAGCCTGATTGTAAATTATATACCCCTGGATTGAGCCTGAAAGTAAATTATATACCCCTGGATTAAGCCTGAATGTAAATTATTTCCCCTGGATTGAGCCTGAAAGTAAATTATATACCCCTGGATTGAGCCTGAATGTAAATTATATACCCCTGGATTGAGCCTGAATGTAAATTATATACCCCTGGATTGAGCCTGAAAGTAAATTATATACCCCTGGATTGAGCCTGAAAGTAAATTATATACCCCTGTATTGAGCCTGAATGTAAATTATATACCCCTAGATTGAGCCTGAATGTAAATTATATACCCCTGGATTGAGCCTGAATGTAAATTATATACCCCTGGATTGAGCCTGAATGTAAATTAAATACCCCTGGATTGAGCCTGAATGTAAATTATATACCCCTGGATTGAGCCAGAATGTAAATTATATACCCCTGGTTTAAGCCTGAGTGTAAATTATACACCCCTGGATTAAGCCTGAATGTAAATTATATACCCCTGGATTAAGCCTGAATGCAAATTATATACCCCTGGATTAAGCCTGAATGTAAATTATACACCCCTGGATTAAGACTGAATGTAAATTATATACCCCTGAATTAAGCCTGAATGTAAATTATACACCCCTGGATTAAGCCTGAATGTAAATTATATACCCCTGGATTAAGCCTGAATGTAAATTATACACCCCTGGATTAAGCCTGAATTTAAATTATATACCCCTGGATTAAGCCTGAATGTAAATTATATACCCCTGGATTAAGCCTGAATGTAAATTATGCACCCCTGGATTAAGCCTGAATGTAAATTATATACCCCTGGATTAAGCCTGAGTGTAAATTATGCACCCTTGGATTAAGCCTGAATGTAAATTATATACCCCTGGTTTAAGCCTGAGTGTATATTATATACCCCTGGATTAAGCCTGAGTGTAAATTTTATACCCCTGGATTAAGCCTAAATGATACTACTTGATCACCGAAAAAAGTAATCTAGAATCATGAATTTTGTTGAGTTTGCCATTAAAAAATTATTTCTCATTTATTTTATCAGATTGTTACTGTTGGAGATAGTACACAGCACACCCGACCTCAGGATGCTATTGCAAGTATTCTGGCGAGCATGAACTCTCAGGTTAGGCGGGAATTCAGTCTCTTTATATAAAGTTAGAAAGTAAACTAAATAAGAAAGATTATAAATCTGTGTTACAACATTTTGGCGAATCTTGTTTATATAAAAGTAGCATAATTTGATTTTTTTCTGATTTAAAAGGGGGGAAATTGATGGATTGGTTGAAAATTAAATAATGTTTATGAGCTGGCATGATCGCGATTTGTGGATGTAAGAACTATTTTAATTAGAAAAAAAGTATATAATTTTAAATCTTATTATTTCAATTTTTAAAAGCTGTGTATATTTTTTGTTTAAATAACCATCATTGGCTTATATTTTTTTTTCAAGTTCTGTCATATTTTTGTTTTTGGAATTTGATAAAAGTTTTTTGTTTGTTTAATTTTACCCTAAAACTTATACAGTGTACATTCAGGGTTGTTAATTGTTTTGGTTCGTTTTTTAAAAACTTTTCATCAAACTTCCAACTGTTTTCTGTTAAACTTAGCTTTTTTAAACTTTGCAATACTTTAATCCTAAGAAGAAGCATACAGGGAAAAATGGTTCGTTTAGGACTAGGTTTGTTTTTTGTATAAACTTACTCTCAGGGTAAAAATTTGGCATGTGTAAGAAATTCAAATGTTGAGGTTAAGCATTTTTTAAGGTTGTGAAAATTCTATGATTTTTTGTGGAAAAACTTTCAAACCCGAATCAAAACGATTTATCAGCTGAGTTAATATGAAAATCAACCATGAAATTATATCATTTATTGAATACACTATAGCGCAAATATCTCATTCATAATATTTGCAACATTTGGGACAGCGAAAAACAACAAATAAATTAGAAAATGACGAACTATCCCTAACAATTATGAATGAATTGCTCTTGGGTTTACATATTTAATTATATAATATTGATAATTTAGGGACTAGAGACAACTGTGAGCTCCGGGAACCCTGTAGATTACAGCACAGCTGTTTCCGAGGTTGATGAGGTCGTTACCCTGGATCAACAACATTTCGAGGACAGGAGGGAGGTCCTTCCCCTCAACCTCGCTACTACTAGTCCGTCGCAGGTATATATTTTTGAAATGGGTAAAGTTAAAGCTGATTTTAAAACCAATAATTATTAAAATCTATTTATTGTTCAAAATGCATACATTAAATGCTAGCATATTAATCCAGACTTGAAATCATATATATGAATAATTGTAAAAAAAGTACAAACAAGGTCACCTCAAATATTCACTGAAAGTGTCAAACATTATATTCAAACCGCGAAAAAAAACTGAAAACATGACGAAAAAGACTAGAAGCATTTAATCTTCTAATCTAGCTTTAAAATTCAAATATTCCAATAATGGCGAAGTTATGAAAAAGCCCCCCCCCACCACCACCATGTATACGACACTGAAGGAACTACTGATCTATGTATTTTATTGGCATGGATTTTTAACAATAATTACTTTTTTAACTTTCAAGTATTTGCTTTCGTTTTTGTAAATTTTTACTAAAAATATTTTACACTTAGAGTTTCATCGCATAAATCGCCTTCACAATCACAAAGTAAAGAAGGAAGAGTTAAAAAATGTTAAAAGCGATGGGGGAATATTTTATTTTAATGGAGGATGAAGACATATGGGCCGGTAGGGTAAATATCAAAAAAGTTAAAATTAATAAATTATTAATTAAAACTTTTTTCAGGGAACTTTTATTCAAACATCACAAGGACTTCAGTTACACGGGATAAAGAAGATCGGACAGTCGACACCTGGAGGTCTAGTCACCAAAAAAGTAATCATCGCAACTATAAATGGGACCCAAAGAATACTAACCCCTGTCTCAAGTCCGCAGATTATATCTATGAAACCCACTTCTCGATTCTTGTCGGATGGAACACTAGTGAACGGTTCGAGTCCTATCATGATTCAGAAACCAGGTTTACAGTTTCACAAACCTAAACAGTATAGTCCTCCCATCCTATCCTCCAGATCTACAGACAATAAAACATGCTTGTGGAAATTCGAGAACGGACAGGTGAATATATAAATATTTGTTATTTTCACTTTAGTTCTTTTAATTTTTCATTGATTTCTACATTTTTGTACGGACTTTACTTATTAATTTATTCTTATGGACTACATATCCTTTTTCTTAAAAAGTACCTCAAGCGTTTTGAAGAAAAAAATGAATTGGTGGGTATCTACCCCCTCCCCTTTCTACTGTAAAATGTAAACTTATTAACAAACTAGTTCAGCATTATTCTGCAATTTCTTGCAGATCTCATCCTCGTATAATCATCGTATTAACTAATAAATGTCTTGTTAGGTGTGTGGAAAAGTATTTACGAAAACCTACAACCTAACAGTGCACATGAGAATGCACCAGGATATCAGGCCTTTCCCGTGTTCGATCTGTGAACAAACATTTAGACAAAAGGCACACTTGCAACGCCACGAGGCAACTCATGGTATTGATTCTACGGCTAACAGAAAAAGACGAAAGCGTCCAATGATAGACGATTTTAACGATATAAACAGAAGAGCAGATAATGAAAGTGACGAAGATATGTATCGGTCTTTTGGTGAGGTTAAACGGAAGTTTTCCGTCGGAACCATGAAGAATGAGGAGGAGGAGGAGGATGAGATGGATGTTGATCCAATGATTGAACCCATCGACGGATCTCAGGTAGATAAAACATATGGTAATGGGGTCAGAAGGAGAGACGATTATTCTTAGTTGCATAAACCTATGGAACTGGATTTTTATTTATTGTTTGTTGGTCCGGGGTAGGGGGATGATAGATTTTAAGTCCTTTGCAAATCTTGAAAAATATTTTTCCTAAGGGGAATTGTTTAGATGATGCTCAGAACAATAAAGGAATTAAGTCTTTTTCACAAACTATAATAATAATAATAGCAATAGTTTTTTTTTGTCAACATAATATATTTATATCTTTGCGCAACACAATGTCAAATGTCAAACTATAAATTCTGTCGGATAATTAAAATAATCTAAGTTTGAAATATCTAAGATGTACACCATGAGGTTGCAAAGATATAGGGATACAAAATTTGAGTTTGTGGCTTCGACTCAATTTCTTTGAAAGCTTGATCAGGAAACAAAAGAATAATCAATTAAAACTAGGCTTCCGTCTTCGATTTTAACTTTTAATTGTTGCTCTTTTATCAATTTTTTCAATTCAAATCATCCATAAACCTTCCCTGGGATCATGTAATGTATCGAAAAAAATGGGCCCGATCGGTTCACCCGTTTTGACGTTTATCGGTTACAAACAAGCAGAAAAGCAAAGTATAAATATAGAAGAAATTTCCTTCCTTTTCTTCCTTACCTAGTATTCTCTTCCTGTTCAGATTGAAAGGAAGCAGGTCTGCCCGGTGAATGTCGGAACAAACACCGAGGTGACACGGCATGATGTATCTGATGAGATAGAGGAGAGTAATCTAGAACCTGTTAGATACCGACCCAACCCGGCCAGTCGGGGAGTAGAACAAGGAGTTCAGTATAGTGAGGAGGATCTTATTTTACCAGACTCAGGATACCAGGTACACCTACACGTACACCTACACCAGGTTTTAATTAAACTTGCAACAAGATTAAACCCAACCCTATACCAGGATTCAAATCCTACTCTTTACCCAACTGTACAACAGAACTTAAACCCAAATATACAACAGAAATTAAACCCCAACTGTACAACAGAACTCAAACCCCAAATGTACAACAGAACTCAAACCCCAAATGTACAACAGAACTTAAACCCCAAATGTACAACAGAACTCAAACCCAAAATGTACAACAGAACTTAAACCCCAAATGTACAACAGAACTTAAACCCCAAATGTACAACAGAACGTTTTTTTTTTATAAATAAATATTTCAGGAGATGGAGATGAAGTACTCTAGATCTGAAGAGACTCTAGAGAAACAGGAGATTCGTTATATCCATCCTTCTAAATCTGTTTTGAAAACGGAGGACGGAGTTGTGGAGGTCGGAGAGGACGAGGTCTATTCTAGTCAACAGGTTTACTCAGTTCAACAAGGAGAGCTTGAAGAAACCCAGCTCATCACACAAACCTCAGACGGATCCTACATAGATACTTCAGGGAACCAGATAGTGATGTCCCAGGATGGAGAACTCGTCGGTTTTGTTCCTGTTGAGGGGGATCAGAGTCAGGTTGTAAATATCAGCACAACCACAAACGAGCACGGGCAGCAGGTTGTGATCATTGAGAACCTTCATCATCATAGTCCTGAGCTACAGAGGGAGATCATGAACGCTCTTATTTCAGACAGTAGTCTTGTTCCTCTCACTAATTCATAAACAGATCTGAGTTCTCTCACATAGTTATTTATTTCGACTCTAGAGTTGAACTATTAGACCCAATCTAAAAATGAATTAAAGAACATTTGATGAATTCAAAGTGTTTAGAAGCTAAACCAAGAAATCTATGTTTTACATTTTTGCCAAATTGACTGATTTAAAGTGACATTGTTTTGTTTTGTTAATTCAAGTCCTAGAACAATTGTTAAGGTTTGTCTTTCTTATTGTTATTTTTCGTTGTTTCAGGTTCAGGTCTATTTACTTACCTAAGCTAGGTACGAGGCCCTTGTACTTGCCTAGAATAGGTACGAGGCCCTTGTACTTGCCTAGAATAGGTCCAGGGTTCCTGTACTTACCTAGGATTGGTTCAGGGTTCCTGTACTTACCTAGGATAGATCCAAGGTTCCTTTACTTACATAGGATAGGTTCATGATCCATGACTTTCTGAAACATACAGGGTTACCTACAAAGAATAAGACTATAAAGACGACCTAAAACTTTTGAAATATTTCGATCCCAAGGTTAAATCAAGCTTTCTGCATTGAGTATAGTTTTTAATGGCTTACTCAATTATTTTGCAAAGAAAGAACCAAGTGTACGGTTGCCGGGAATCATAAATGTAAGAAACTGACAGTATATTCGTCTCATGAAGTCTCATTCTTTGTAGGTATTATGTAACCCTGTATATTTACTAATTTAAAAAAGGGTCTCTCTTACTTAACGCTAGTTTCGCCTTTATGGACGTGCGTCCAGCATGCCTAGAAAATTATTATATGTTCAAAATATATTTAATATTATGAAATCATAAAAATATTGTTTATTTTGATCAAAACGATAGTAGGGGTGTGACATTTTGTGACATTTTTCAGAAATTTTACAAAAGCAAAATTGTACTTAAAATTCTTACAGGCATGTTTTAAAAATGAAATGTTAACATTAACTCAGAAATGGCTCCTTGAAATGGCTCCTTGAAATGGGTCCTTGAAATGGGTAGTAATGATAAAAAATGTATTAAAAAACACTGATACAAATGAAAATTAAAATTTTAAACAGATATTCAATATATATAGGTATTTTTTCCCAAATTAAAATCAAATAACAGAATGTAAAATTATTACAAATTGACCGATTTAAAGCTTAAAACACATTTTTAGAGTACTATAACAATTTAGTTAGAGAAAAAAAATTTTTTGACCATAGCCCGCCCATTTTTTAATATTTTTGAACTCCGGTTTTCACGCAGTATTTATTGGTTTGGTACCCATTTCAAAATGCTATTAAATATTTAATTTTCACTCGCACTAGTGATTTTTTTTACATTTTTCATCTTTAAACCTTGTACAAAATGCATTTTTAATATTATGCCTTAAAATACAAGAAGAATACAATTTTGCTTCTCAAAATTAAGAAAAATTTCACAAAATTGCACAACGATAGCTATCGTGATAAAATATCGAGAAAAACTGGATTGTATGAGGAATTTTGTAGGATATAAGAGAAGTAAAGGGGATCCCTTACTGGTAAACAAGGGACTTTTACGGATTATGGAGAGACGACGAAAGATAGTCTCAAAGTACAGAGTGTCCCACGAAACATGAAAGTTGGTAAATAGTTTAGAATGTCTTCTTCCATAATTTGTGAAGGTGTTTAATACCAAAGACAATAATAAAAATATTACATAGGAGAGTCATATTATAGTAAAATTAACTTCAAAGTAAAATATATTTAAGGAAAAGTTGTTTAAAACGCCTTTAATACCTAATACAGTGTATGGAAGACGACACAAGGAACTATTTACCAAGGTGGTGTATTTTTCGACCTACAAACAGCTGACGTAGGTCCGATATTGCAGTAGGTCGTAAAGTTAGTAGGTCGGAAGTTCAGTAGGGGAGATATTGCGCATAGACGATGTAACATTACCTTTACGAACTGTCATGTTTATGTACTTTATATAACTATAAGCCAGGGACCACATGGAACGACGCTTAGAAACACATAAAAAAGATAATTTCCATTAAAATGGGGAAAATAAGACATTAGAACTAAGAAGAACATATTCAACAAATTGACTCATATTGTTCAATTTACAACTGTTGGAAGTATAAGTTTTTTAAAAACCCAAGAACATGGCATAGGATATTTTAAAAATCGATTTGCATTGAACACTGAGCCAAATCTGTATGCAACAACTGAAAAATTCGTTTTTTTCGACTTCAACCCTTTGTAAAAAGCACTTTTACTATGAAATTTTTTTACACGGGAGGGCTAGTCCCACCTGTACCCCCCCCCCCCCCGCTGACAAAAGTGCTAGTTACGCCCCTGTTTAAACATTCAGGGGAGTAAATGAAGATTCTGTAGGGGGTTAAATTTTTAAATTCGAAAAATATCATGATGTATATCAATTTATTGGTTTTAATTGGGTTTGATTTGCATTTTCTACTCATTTCTGGCATTTACAAACTCCATCAAATAAAGGCTTTATTTCATACCTTTCAGCTTTCACCAATTGTTTTATATCCTTCAAATTATAGTCATTCATTTTACATTAACTACAAAGATCTGTAAAAAAAAATGAATTTATTTTAAATAAGATAAAAATTAATATTTATACTCTAAGAGAGGAAAAAGATGTTACTTTTTAAAATCTTTACAAAAGCTACTTTGCAAATTTCTAATTTCTAAAATTTTCTTGTCGTCAATGTAGTATGTTAAGATCTAAAATAAATCTAATATGGAATTGACATTTAGAAGTAAAAATGTATTTTTCATTGCCCATACCCTTTTTTCTAATAAAAAAACATCTAATTGTAATGACATTGACTATTACTTTAGAATTTAGAATCATTTAGTTAATATGTTGACTTAAAATTTAAAATATCTGATTCCGACGTATCTGCACAATGCACATTTTAATTGTTTTCGTGCAAATTAAAAAGATATTCAATTTTAAAATCAAATTTTTAAATTCTAGGGGGGGGTAAACAACCCCATACAACCCCCCTTATTTACGCCGCTGCATTGTAAACATTCCAATTGTTCTACCGAGTTTCCCAATAAATAAGGCAAATAAGTACAGGGGTTAATGAGTTATGATCGGACATACAGACAAAGGTGACTACTATTGTAGTTTCCACGGGCCATTATGAGCAGTGTTACGTGTGGCTCGTTAAACCCACTCTTAGTGATGGATGAAATTATGAAATAACATTCATAGGTCCGATGATGAAACATTTAAAAAAAAATTGGTCGTCTTTGCACGAATTAAATACAGATTTCAGAACGGGGCATACTATCAGGAAGAAAGTTGTTATTAAAAAAATTTCACAAATAATTTTACAACCATTTATATTTTATATACCCCGTTAAGGATTTAAAAGCAGTTAAGCCCTTAATGCCGACGTTAAGGAACTGTCTTTGTTATTTATGGTGACCCTCCAGTTCAATGTGTGCATGCAAAATTCACAACGGTACTCAATATACCCTTTTATCATTTTAAATGTGGAAGATTATTCCAACTTGAAAATTGTATACTAGGACAGACCCGGACTACCCCAGTTTCCATCTTATTACAAATTCACTCAATAGATATCTAAATGCTTTGAATTTCAGATGAATGATTACATAACCCTAGGGATGGGTCGGCACCCCGACCTTACCCTCAAATGGAATCCTCGGAATCTAGAGATTAAAACTAGAAGTGTAGAGAAGAACCTTGAACCGTTGGTTCATCAGGTCACAACCCTCGTCGCTTCCCAGTCTCCTTTCAAGAAAAAGGGGAAATCTAAGCGTGCGCATGTTCTGGTCGCCGCTGTGGAACGCGCGACCGCGAACTTTGTCGAGAAAGGAGAAATGATCGCTCTGGAGAATCCTGATATTAAGAAGGAGATGTTGTCAACTGTTGAAGAGGTTCGGAGAACAGGAGAGGAGATGTCAAGCTCCGCCAAAGAGTTTGCTAATGATCCCTGCAGCAGTGTGAAAAGAGGAAACATGGTGAGGGCAAGTAGAAACCTTCTCTCCTCAGTGACACGGCTTCTTATACTGGCAGATATGATAGATGTGCATTTATTAATGAAGAAGCTGCACAGGGTTGAAGATGATCTTGAATATCTTAAATCAGTTTCCTCCCAGGCAGAGCTGATGGAGGGAATGGATAGATTCGGTAAATCCTCAGCAGATCTGATGACTCAGGCAGCAAAACGTCAATTTGAACTTAAAGATCCTGTCTCAAGAGACGACCTGGCAGCAGCTAGAGCTGTTCTAAAGAAGCATTCGATGATGCTGCTTACAGCCAGCAAAGCATATGTAAGACACCCGGAGTTAGCAGCAGCGAAATCCAATCGTGATTATGTTTTGAGACAAGTCTGTGAAGCGGTGAACACGATAAGCGATGTTGCACAAGGAAAGAATGGATCTATCAACTCATTCGAAGGAACCGGGGAACTAGCCACAGCGTTGGATGATTTTGACGATCGAATTCTAATAAACCCGATTACTTTTGATGAATCGACGGCTCGACCAAGTCTTGAGGAGAGGCTAGAGAGTATTATTAGCGGCGCTGCTCTAATGGCAGACAGCAGTTGCACCAGGGATGAACGGAGAGAGAAAATTGTTGCAGAATGTAACGCTGTAAGACAAGCACTGCAGGATCTACTTTCCGAGTATATGAACAATCCTGGAGTTAAACACAACCCTAGTCTGGACGGAGCAATTGATCTTATGTGCCAAAAAACCAAAGATTTGCGTCGTCAGCTTCGCAAAGCCGTTGTTGATCATGTATCCGATAGTTTTATTGAATCCACGGGTCCCTTGTATGCTCTAGTGGATGCTGCTAGGGAGGGTAAGGAGAGAGATGTTGAGGAACTTAGTTTAATATTTACGGAGCACACCAACAAGCTGGTTGAGGTAGCAAACCTGGCCTGTAGTATGTCGGATAACGAGGAGGGAGTAAAGATGGTTCGTTATGCTGCGCAACAGATACAAAACCTCTGTCCTCAAGTTATAAATGCTGCTAGGATACTGGCTAGCAGGCCGAGAAGTAAGGTTGCCCAGGAGAACATGGATGTATTCAAAGATGCTTGGGAAAGCCAGGTTCGGATCTTAACCGATGCTGTGGACGATATCGTTACCGTCGACGATTTTCTGTCTGTAAGCGAAAATCATATTCTAGAGGATGTAAATAAATGCTGTTTAGCTCTTCAAGAGAAGGATCCTGAAACCCTTGACAGGATTGCTGGAGCAATAAAGGGAAGATCTGGAAGGATTGCTGGAGTCGTGGAGTCGGAGATGGATAACTATGAACCTGGAGTTTACACGGAGCGTGTTCTAGAAGCAGTTCGTCTTTTCCGATCCCAGGTTATTTCAAACTTTTCTACCAAAGTTGAAGACGCTCTCGTTTCCCTCAGCTCACTTCCTGCTCGCCTGGTCGACGAGAATGAGTTTATCGACGCTAGTCGCCTTGTTTATGACGGAGTACGAGAGATTCGACGAGCTGTACTACTGAATCGCGGAGAAGAAGAGATCGATACTGACACTGACTGGGAGGAGGAGGGAGAAATCAGTGAAATCGGAAGTGTCCGACCACAGGTTGAGTCAAGGACCGATTCAGTGATAGATGAGTATCCGGATATATCTGGGATTACTAATGCTCGTGAGGCGATGAAAAAGCTTCCCGAAGAGGAGAGACAAAAGATCGCCCAGCAGGTTGAGGTGTTCAGGGTGGAGAAGAGGGAGTTTGATCGGGAAGTCTCCAAGTGGGATGACAACGGAAACGAAGTCATTGTCCTGGCCAAGCACATGTGTATGATCATGATGGAAATGACAGATTTTACCCGAGGTAAAGGTAACCTGAAAACTACCATGGATGTGATTGAAGCAGCTAAGAAGATATCTGAAGCTGGAACCAAGCTGGATAAATTAGCTCGTCAAATAGCTGATCAGTGTCCTGAGTCAACCACCAAGAAGGATCTTATTGCATACCTTCAAAGGATTGCTCTGTACTGTCACCAGCTGAATATTACAAGCAAGGTTAAAGCTGATGTACAGAACGTCTCCGGAGAATTGATTGTATCCGGGTTGGACTCTGCTACATCTCTGATCCAGGCAGCGAAGAATTTAATGAACGCCGTAGTTCTCACAGTGAAAGCAAGCTATGTAGCAAGCACCAAGTACAGGAAGACAGAACAGTTAGCTGCCAAGGTTCCAATCGTGGTTTGGAAGATGAAAGCTCCGGAGAAGAAACCTCTGGTGAGACTAGAGGCTCCAGAAGAGGTTAAAGCTAAAGTAAGAAAAGGATCTCAGAAGAAGCAGACAAGTCCTCTCAAGATACTCAGTGATTTTGAGGGATTAGAACCAGATGAAAACCTTTAAAATCAACGTAAAGGTTATATTATAAACGCTCTTATTTATATATATTTTTTTTGCATTTCTCGCAATCTCAGTAACTATCTCTCAAAAACAGCCTTCTTTTTAAAATATTTGCAGTTTATGATTTTTAGTGCATTTACATATCCTACAATGTGTCAAAGATCTTAAAAAACGTTTATATTTGAAAAAATTTGTTTAAGACATTTTGATTTATATGTTAAGTTTTATATATATGTTTGCTAAATTCTTTTTTTCGGCATAATGTTGTTACCAATATATTTATTTGCTATTAGGAAAAATTTAGTTTCATGAAAATGTGAAGATCGAGTCTAAATTTTGCTTTAGAAAGTCGTGCTTTTTTCTCCAAGCTTGATAAATAGAAAGTCGTGTTTTTTTCTCCAAGCTTGATTAATCGCTGATTATCTATAGGTATTACATTGATCAATTACTCTTGATTAATCGCTGATTATCTATAGGTATTACATTTATCTATTACTCTTGAGTAATCGCTGATTATCTTTAGGTATTACATTGATCAATTACTCTTGATTAATCGCTGATTATCTTCAGGTATTACATTGATCAATTACTCTTGACTAATCGCTGATTATAGGTATTACATTGATCAATTACTCTTGATTAATCGCTGAATAGGTATTAATTTGATCAATTATTCTTGATTAATCGCTGATTATAGGTATTACATTGATCAATTACTCTTGATTAATCGCTGATTATAGGTATTACATTAATCAATTACTCTTGAATTTTCGCTGATAATCTATAGGTATTACATTGATCAATTACTCTTGCTTAATCGCTGATTATAGGTATTACATTGATCATTTACTCTTGATTAATCGCTGATTATAGGTATTACATTGATCAATTACTCTTGATTAATCGCTGATTATAGGTATCACATTGATCAATTACTCGTTAAGACTTACTAGGTTGTGCTAAACGTAAATTTTATATCCTAATTTATATAAAAAAAAAAAAAACATTATACTTAACTCCATTTTTGACTTATTTATTTTTAAAGATCTCAAACGTACACAGAGTAGACCCCTTTTTGCGTTTTATTTCAAGTATTTTTTTTTATTAGCTACCTGCTGAAACTTGTTTAAACTTTTCTCTCGGATTTTATTTGGAAATTACCGCTGGTAATGTACAAAATTGAAAGAACGGGGGGG